TTTTCACAAGCGCCGGGAAAAACAACATAAAAATTAAGGAAAAACGGGAATTTTTACGCAAAATTGGTTTTCCAAAAAATCGATTTTGGTTGTTGGTGTAATTCTAAAACAAATGAACGTATATACATGAAATGTTCACTGGTTGTTAATATTTGCATTTTCTATACACGATAACATTTTCAAAATATTTTGATTTATTTTGAACTGTTTAGGGACATTTTCATTTTCCATTTTTTTTTAGTTTTTTTTCTAAAAATATCAATAACATTTTATTTGTTGGTTGCGAAAGCTTGAAAATTTAATAGAAGGCTCCTAATATGTTGTTTCAAAGGCAGATGAAAAATATTAAAAATCCTTAGTCACAATTTTTTTTTATAAGCATTTAAAGTTCAAAAATTGACAAAATATGGAAAAATCACGAAAATTAGCAAATTATTTTGAGTTAAGAATTCGTAAAAATTTTTCTTTTTAAATCTAAGATTTGAAAATGAAACACAAGATTCCTTATAAGATTATCTACCTTTATCAATAAAAAAATCTCTACCGGACAGTCAAATTAAATTTTTATGAGCGTTTGAAATTCAAATTTTTACAACATTGGATTTTCACTGGATTTCTCATGTAGCGATTTCCTTATTTTGTTGTAATTCAAAAACGAATAACTGTAGATACATGAAAATTTCACTGAATGTTTATATTAGCATTTCCTATACACCATACAATTTTGAAAATATTTTGACTCTTTTTGAGCTGTTTATGGACATTTACAGCTTTCAATTTTTTTTAGTTTTTTTTTCTATAAATATCAATAAAGTTTTATTTGTTGGGCCAAAAAGTGTAAAAATTTAATACAAGGCTCCTGATATATTGTTACAATATCAGTTGAAAAATATTAAAAATACATAGGCACGATTTTTTTTTTATAAGCATTTAAAGTTGGAATTTTGACAAAATTTATCAAAAACTCAAAAATTATCAATCGTTGGAATTAAAAAATTATAAAATGTTCAGTTTTAATAACTAAGAGTTGAAAATTTAAAACAAAGATTCTCTTAAATAATTCATACTGTAACCAAAAAATCTAAAAAATATATAAACACACTTATTTTTTACAGACATTTTAATATCAAATTTAGACAAAATTTCATATTTAAACCAAGAATTACGATTTTAGTTATTTTGTTATGATTGAATAATACTATTCGTGGGTACTTGAAACTTCTAAAGTGTACTATTATATATCTATGGACTATGATAGTATCACGGTTTTTGTTGATGTATAACGCGTTATAAGTACAGTGGCGTCATTTGTGGGGGGGCAAGGTGGGCATTTGCCCCCCCTCCTTGTCATTAGCTGGCCGCTGGCGGCCTACCAACGGGCCGGTTTAAGAACAAAACAATGGATTTTATCTATTTTAATTTTTATATTTGAACATAACCTAACAAAATCGCCACTTGCGAGAATAAGAAACTGCCTTCTCTAGCTCTCTTACTTAAAAGACCGCGACCACGTTTTAAGCTTGTTAAAACGCATTTAAAATTAACAATGGGCGATGAACGACTGAGTGATTTATTAGTGATAGCTGTGGAGAAGGAAACAGCTTCACTGATAAATTTAAATCAAGCTGTTGATATGTTTGGAGCTATGAAAACAAGAAGATATCCTGTCACTGCCTAGCATTTAAATTTTAAGCAACTTTTAAAAAACTATAATTAATGATAAATATATAATAATGTATTGTATCTGTATGTTTTATTTTATTTTTTGTTAATACCATTAAACTCATATTTGGCGCAAATAGGACATAAATTGGGGTAAAATTCCCCTTAAAATATGTCATCATATAGTAGCTATGAGTATATATTGTTTACTCAATGCTTAATACTAAATACTAATAGGTAATATTGGGTATCCCTCTACATATTATATTTTATATACCTATGTATTAATTAGTCATTGTTATCTTTCAAAAATGTGTGTTATTTATGCCTAGAGTAACCACAGTTATCTCAGATAACCAACTTGTATGTATATAAATATAACTATGTAAGAAGGCTGTTTGTATATTGAGATAAAAATGTAATTGTTAGAGAGCGGTTTTTTTTTAATTATTGGCCGGTCAAAACTTTTGCCCCCCCCCTTTCAAAACCTGAAATGACGCCACTGTATAAGTATCTAATGGATATTGTGATATGATTAATTTGGAATTTATTATAGGTACCTATTATAGGTCAATTTTTTGTTTAATACTATAGATATGTATATAATATGCCTTATACATAGACTGACATACCATCACCGCTCAGAATCGTTTTTCTTATACAATGATATTATATCATTGAATTCAAATTTAATACCATCCATTATACAGTGACCCACTTGTAACCTACTGTACAGCAGAGCGACACCCACTTGCCCACCTTTTTGAGTTTATCGTTTTTCAGAATTAAAACGTTGTTCAAGTTTGGCGTTTATTGTTATACAGAATTAAAACGTTATACAAGTTTTGTGTTTATTGTTATTTAAATAATAGTGTTAATACCTATTAAATTTAAAAATAATAACTAAATGTGGGTAGATAATAATTAATAACTAATGGCCCGGATTCGAAATATACCTAATATAATTAATTCTTAGATTGTTTGCATGAAATAAATGTTTCTACGAAACCAATAGACCTTTTAAGTAAATAGATTTTAAAATATTTCGTTTTGCATTATTTTTCGTTCAATGATGTTCTATAAATTACGTTTTGTCAAATGATATATAATATAGTAATTTGTTAATCGTTATGTTTTGTTTTGTGGTGTTTAATTATTTTTGATTATCGCTTTCGTTAAAATTACGTTTACAAATTTCAATCGTTTTTTTGTCAAATATAACGTGGTTATAACGTGGGCAAGCTGGTTATAAATTATTTTTAGTACATATCAGATCAATATTTCAAGGTTTTTTTAACAGTTTATCAGAAATGTTTACTGACACGAAAATATTTGTTTTTTCACCCTAACTGCTATCGAATAATCCCATGTTTACAACTCACAACAGTTATTTAAAAAAAAAAAAAACTGGTAGAATTTCAGAAATATGACAATTAAAATACAAATAAATACAGTTTAAATAATTAGCAACACAAGTATTAATAAATGCATTTGATAAAAATATTTATACAATTTTTCACAACACTAAGTACTATTACTTCAAGGCAGGGAATAATATTTTTACTATAATATTGATAACGTTTCATATATATTAATATCATAATTTCGCGATATCGAGTAAAAATATAAAATATATTGTGTCAGAAATGAGTTAATTATTGATGATTTTTGTTTACTCATAATACAATTTTTTTTTATAAATTAATTATTTCATATTATTATACATTTATACCTACACAACAAAATTAAACATAATAATAAATTAATATATGTATAATATACATAAAAATAATTTTTAAAGATATTAAATAAAATTTGGTTACTATAGGTAAATTTTCTGTACAATATAATTAGGGATATCTGATTAAATCGTTTAATTTATTTTCTATCAAAATGTAAATTCTAATGTATTCATATCGACATCGACGTCGAAGTCTAATCGAAATATCTATATCGTTCTATATGAACATCGGAGCATGTCTGGATGACATAATAATATCTGCATCACTATAGTACTTAGAAATAATTCAGATGCAAATGATTAATTATTATACTACTCCTTGAATAATGATGGTTTTCAATGTGTATTGTGCATTTGTGCATGGTGTAATATTATAATAATACAACATATAATTCGAAAATTGTGGTGTTCGAACTGATTGAAAAGTGTTCAAATATTAATTTGGGAGAAAATGTTCGAAATTGATTCGATAGTTTGAAGATTATTATTATATACCTACTATCGGACATTTCATACAGACCGTTTTTAAGGAGTTTAATATAGGCAATTACTTGTACGCTTGCGTACTAAGTATCATTATGCATTACACATTATTGGACACGGATTTAAATGCAATTGTTAAAATTTTTTCTGAATATTCTAAAACATTGCTTCCAAGCACAAAATTCGTTTCAAACATCATTTTCACACAAGAATTGAAACTTTAATTTTAAATTGTTTAGTTTTTTAAGGAATTTTTTGTGTATTTTATAGGAATAATTTAAATGTAATAGAACTTTAGCTTAAATTCCTAGCAATAAAAAGCTAAATAATATATATGTACATATTATTATAATATATTACTAATATTTCTATTTTTATTACGTATTATGTTCGCTCCTATGACCTCAGTTGGTGCGGAACAACATTTGTCTAGATGAAAAACTTGACGATAACCTTCGAAGTCTTTTATTTAAAATTATTAAACAGTATATGATTGTCCACTGTTCATTGCTATAATGAAACACAAAATATAACAAATGTACCTATGTAAATGTTATATATTATTGATAAAAAATTATATTTTATTGGTTTTTAATTGTTTAGGGAATTCTATTATTTATTGAGGTTTGTATCTAGTACTATTTGTACATTAAATAGTATCTTTTAATGCATAATTTATTGTTCTTATTTCTCAGAGCATTATTTAAATCCTCGTAGACAAAATATGGTTATGTTTTTATCTAAAAAACCAGTCGGCATAGTCCGTATCGATTATAATCACTGTATTATAAATAATTATTAAGTAATTTCTGATAATATTATTTTCGTCAAACTAAAACACGTGCAGCAACGCTTTACGTATCCACTGGATGTATTAAGAGTGATGAGTTATAACTTGAGCCGGATCGTGAGGAAAACTCGGATCGCACGGTGATTTCGAATAGGATTGAAAAAAAATAATCTAAAACACCTTTTTGATTTATATCAGACAAGCGTTTTATTAGAAAAAAAAAAATACCAAAACACGGTTCATTCAACTACATATTTTCGACTACTGGATTTGAAACGTCGCAGGTTGACATTTCGATTTCTACTTGGCGGAGGTGCGGGCGATTCACTTCTTCTCTACGGATGTGGGGAACCAATTCTGGCATGCGTCTGACGCGATCTCGCACATGGTGTAAATTGTCTTTCCGGGGTTTTCATACTCTGCGCAAAAATACAAGTACATAAAAATAAAACTGACAATACAATATTCATCGTTAATGTTGTATACACTATAAAACTATATTATTATAATATTCGCTGATTTGTATTGATATCGTAAATGTCTATTATATTAATGTATAGAGGCAATTATTTCTAAAGTTAAATTGACTATGCTATTCTATAATTTTTAGTTTGGTCAAATTTTCTACTGTTGAGGAATTTTTTTTGATCCCGACAGCAGATTTAATGTCAGAAAATTTCTAGAAATGTCGGACTTTTGTTCATGTGAACAAACATTTTGAAACTGTTGAAAAGTTTTCGTTTCGTTGTTCTTAATATTACATCCGACTTATTGATGATTATTTTCAAACAATAGGTTTTGATATATAAAACGGCAGTGAGTGTATAATCAGATTTTTATGAAATTATTTTGATAAACAATGTTTTGTGATTTTAAAATCGATAGAAAATGTGCTCTGGTCGTTTGGTACCTGTAAGTAGTAGGTAGGTGCGCGGTGGCAAGGGATGAAAAAAAAACAATTTGAAAATCCTCATCTGAGTGCAATAAACTATTAAAGACGCAAAATTACGCATTCCACCGTCGGAATAACAATACAGAACGATAGTTTTTCGCTTCGAAACGTCGGGCGAGAGACAACGAGTGAGGGTAATAAACGCTGTGCAACATACCCGGATAAGAAATGGTTCGCTTTCCGAAGATGCTGCCGTTGAAAGGTGGTTTTCTGAAGCCGTTTGTGGAGTCAGTGGCGAACATCAACACTACCATCAGGAGGAACACAGCTACGGTGCACTTGAAGTTCATGTTGAAGTTAGGCGGCTTCTGCTTTTGTTTGGACTGAAAATGTATGCTCGCTTTAACGTTTGCGACTTGATATTGATATTAGGTACACGTATTGTTATAAATTACATAACGTTATAAGTTTTTATTATATTTTACGATCATGCAACGCTCTAGTCATTAGACGATTTCAAAGGGGTATGATGTAGACGGTTTTGACCAAATTTGACGAAAAATTAAAATATATATTAATCACTGATAATTCAAAAAATTTAACAGGACATATTATATTTTTTCTTTTGTTGTTTTATTACGAAATTATGTAGAAAATATACATTAAAATGTATTTGAACCAGACTGACAATATTAATTATTACTTATTACTTATTACTTTAGAAAAAGGATAATATTTTAGGAAAAGGTAGGCATTTGAGTTCTTAAAATATGCATTATTTAATAATGATTTTACTATTTAAGATAAAAAAAAGTTGCTCCAACAGTTTAAGTTTATTTTTATTGTGCACTAATTTTATGAACGGACGACATGTCAATTTGTCATCATCTCAAAAATATAGTTTACTTTAAAATTACTAGATAGAAATAGATAGGAATAACAATTTTTAAAATTATTCAGTATTTTTGAAAATATTATGGAGAAATGACGAGAGTGACTGAAATTTTCAGATAAATGTTCAAAATGATGTTCTATACATTTCAGAAAATAATAATCGTATAGGTAGTTATTAATAGAAAATCAAAATAATATATTACTTATTTATTTAATTTTTACATTTTCTAGACACAGACATATATCTAATATAAATATGAATGTGGAAAAATACCAATCGAACAATTATTTATGAACTTTACTTGTACTGTTATTACTTATAATCTATATATCTGTTGCTATTTCTTTAAAATGTATTATATTTAGTAATGTAGCATAGTAATATCTTTCTAAATCATAGAAATAAAAAGAAATTTAATAATAATATTATTGATATGAAAATTGAAAACACTTTATTAGATTTAATGGCCGTAAATTATTAATATTTTAATAATTATAGGAGAAAATGACTAGAATTTAAACAAGTTGTTTGAACCAAAAATAGGAATGTTTCATATTTCGCTTTGTAAAATTTGAAAATTTACATTTGAATGCTCTAAAAGTCTAAAATAAGCGTGGAAGTGTAATCATTATCAAAGTTTTATAATCTCGGATACAATAAAAAATGTCTTACAACCGTATTTGTATAGTGAAATATAAATAAACCAAATTAACAACAAAAATTGAAAGTTAAACTATAAGCTTTAATATTTTACAAAAATTATTCTATAACAGAAGTGTTATTTCTTAATAATTATCTGTCAAGTATAATATGAGGACTTGTCCTTAAAAGAAGTATGTTTGAAAAAAATGTGTTATAGAAATTAAATCCATTAGAGTGAAACCTACGCAGTACAACATATGCTACGAACGTATTTGAAATTTCAATATAAAACCGTTGAAAATTTGTATAAGCTTTTGTTCAGAAATATGTATCAGAAAATATAAGCTAAATACTCACAGTTTTTTTTGAGGTGCGGAGATGTTGTCTTGTTGAGAGACTGAAGTGACTTGTTGATGTGATACGATGACCGGGCTCCTTTTATAGTACCTTTTCCCGATTATTTTAAATCTATACAGCAATAGCCATACGCATGTTCTAAATTATATTATATTTCATTATTATTTCCGAGCAGCAATTCCCAAAACAAATTTACTGCAACTTTATTATCGACGCATTTCCCAGATGACATTATTTTTTCCCTGTTACAAAAATATTGACGTCGTCGCGTCCGAACAAATCAAAACATAACATAATTATTATCATAAACGGGACGAGCTTGATCACTTTTTTCCATCGCGAATTCAATTTAAATTTCATTAAATGTGACGTATTCTTAATCAAAATTATTTTTTCTATACACCACAGCCTTAACACCTACTTTGCCCTTATTAAAACCTATTCCACGGTATGACTTAAATTTGTGACGGTCGAATGTAATATACGATATAGTATAGACTTTACTTTTACATTAAATCCCAGTGTTGTACAAAATATAATAGGAATTTTGATTCGAGACATAATATTGTATAGGTAATGTTATACGTTCTAATGAACTGGGCGTATATAGTGAATTATTATTAGTTATTGACAATTTATATTAGTTTTTAATGTTTAGAAGTCGGAGCTGAGCAAGAGGGAGCCAGTACCTACTCAGTACCCAGTGGGGTCCGTGATTTTTAAGCTACCTATGTTGTATTCTTCAAACACAAGTATTTTTATAGCTTATTGGTAGATACTATTAGGTATTATAGGTATGTATAAAATTGTATGACAAATTGTGTGTAAGTGTAAGTGTCAAAAAAATTGGAATTTCATAATGTATATTAGCTGGTATGTAATTATGTAAATAACTATGCTTGTTAGTTGTTTATAGATTTTCATTACCTATTCCAAATTACAACAACTTCGGGCTGTTATGAGTTATGACATGGTAGGTAACAAAATATAATAACATCCAACATTGAAAATAATACTTAACAGTTAACAGATTGATTAGCTACTTAGCAATATTTACAGTTGCCTATTGCCTATACTAACTACCTATTTATGTAAATATTTTGCAGCAAATTTCATTTTAAATCATATTATCAAGAAGTAGTGAGTACCTAAAATGTGAATATCTAGGCAAGTCCATTTAGACAGGATCACCTGACAACAGGATCAACCACCGGACTTAACACCAATTTACTCTTTTCTTTGAAGCAATTTAAAAATATTTGTCTACTAAACTCTTAAAAGCATGGACATATTGAAACAAAAATATTTAATTAGTGTGCTGTAGCAGTGGCGTATTTACTGGGGCATATTATGGAGATATATCTCCCCCCCTTGATCTTTTTTAGATTCTGAGAGGAGCGATCATTGTATTGTTTTTACAATGATATGTATGTTTTTTTTTTTAATATTTATTTTTGTTGTGGCTGCCATCACCTTTTAATTTTTATTATAATAGAAGTCCTTAGATTTTCTTCAACAGTATCTTTTCTGATAGGAAAGTGAATCTAGTTGGTACTTTGGGGGGTCAAAAGTAAAAATTTCCTAGTAGTTTTCACAAGCGCAGGGAAAAACAACATAAAAATTAAGGAAAAAAAGGGAATTTTTACTCAAAATTGGTTTTCCAAAAAATCGACTTTGGTTTTTGGTGTAACTCTAAAACAAATGAACGTATATACATGAAATTTTCACTGTTTGTTTATATTTGAATTCTCTATACACCATAATATTTTCAAAATATTTTGATTTATTTTGAACTGTTTAGGGACATTTTCATTTTCCATTTTTTTTTAGTTTTTTTTCAAAAACATCAATAAAATTTTATTTGTTGGTTGCGAAAGCTTGAAAATTTAATAGAAGGCTCCTAGTATATTGTTTCAAAGGCAGATGAAAAATATTAAAAATCCTTATTTACAATTTTTTTTTGTAAGCATTTAAAGTTCAAAAATTGACAAAATATGGAAAAATCACGAAAATTAGGAAATTATTTTGAGTTAAGAATTCGTAAACATTTTTCTTTTTAAATCTAAGATTTGAAAATGTAATACAAGATTCCTTATAAGATTATCTACCTTCATCAAAAAAAAAATGTCTATAAGAAAGTCAAATTAAATTTTTATGAGTGTTTGAAACTGAAATTTTTACAACATTGGATATTCACTCGATTTCTCATGTATAGCGATTTCCTTATTTTGTTGCAATTTAAAAACGAATAACTGTAGATACATGAAAATTTCACTGAATGTTTATATTAGCATTTCCTATACACCAAAAATAAATAAATAATTTGACTTTTTTGAGCTGTCTACGGACATTGTCAGTTTTTAATATTTTTAGTTTTTTTTTTTCTATAAATATCAATAAAATTTTATTTGTTGGGTAAAAAAGGGTGAAAATTTAATGCAAGGCTCCTGTTATATTGTTACAATAGCAGTTGAAAAATATTTAAAATACATGATCACAATGTTTTTTTATAAGTATTTAAAGTTCAAATTTTGACAACATTTATCACATTTAAAATTTAATAATTATTTTCTATTAAAAATAGATAAAATGTTCTAATTTTATAGCTAAGAATTGAAAATTTAAAACAAGATTCCACGTAAATAGGTTATGTATAAATTACTTTATTCACCTTAATATCACCAAATATACTTGGTAATATCATAGGCTGCCTGACCGTTTTTGCTCAGAATCGTTTTTCTTATACAATGATATTATATCATTGAATTCAAATTTAATACCATCCATTATACAGTGATCCACTTGTAACCTACTGTACAGCAGAGCGACTTTTTATTATTATTTTAATATAATAAGACATTTATAGCCTATAGATAAGGCTATCTACATCTATAGATAATTAGTAACATACATTTTTGACAAATTTTAACTTGATAATAATTAATAATTGTAAGTAATAATAATAGCGATATTAACAATAGTGACTACTAACCAGGATAGTAATAAGTTAAGTTCAGACATATAGACAATAATAATAGTGTGGATGAAGAATAAATTACATTATTGTTTAATATTTACTTAATAATAATTAACGAATAAGATCGCGTTTCAGACTTCTTTAAGGTGGTAGACGTATGTGTAAGTTGAAGTGTAGTGAGCCAGTTGATTTGTGGAGTGAAGTATGGAAATTTGTAGCAAGGGCACTTATATGATCTCGAATTTTAATGATTCGGAGGCCTTTATGTAGATTTTCGTTGCGTATAAACCATGGTGCGTTTGTTATTGCTCTTAGTATTTTGTGTTGGAAAATTTGTATTTTTCTTAAGTGTGTCGCTGTACCGTTACCCCAGATAGGGCAGGTGTAGGTAATTAGTAAGCTTAATAATTGGTTGTAAATTAATATTCAGCATTTTTTTTGTAAAACTGATTTTTTTTCTTAGGATAGGAGGCGTTGGT